ATATATATATATATATGTAATTTTGAATAAAACATTTTAAATAATGATAAATCTGCAGCCTTTATTAAGAGACTGCTTGGAGATCCTGCCAGTTCAGGTGCTTCCAGTTATAGGGTGACAGCGCATTAAAGGAGAACTATGGTGTTAAGGCTTTTCCCCATAGTTCTCCTTAGGGTAATGGGAGGACACAAACTAGCGTCCTCCCGTCACCCTAGGCTCAGTATACCGCGAGCTGTAGCTCGTGGTATACTGAGACGCCGCAACTGAAGCGGATCCCGACAATTATGCCATGATCCGCCCAGCTGCGTGACTGACAGCTGGCTCTGCCTATCTAGAGGCAGAGCCAGCTGTACCCGCCCCCTCCCCCGTCCGTTCCGCCAGTCAGCGCTGGTGGATCGGAGTGGGGAGGGGGGAATCCAGCCCCTCCCCTGTCACGGCAGAGAGCCGTGACAGGATCGAGAGGTGAGCAAACGTCGGTATGTGTTCGCTCACCTCCCGATCTACTGAGCCGACCTGTGACAGTCTCATTGTCGCAGGTCGGCTAGAACTATGAGGTGAGTGAAAAGCACTCACCTCGTAGTTCTCGTTTAAATTACCCCCCTTCCTTCAGCACAACTGCTGGTGCAAACTCTCCTGGCTGGGCAGCTTCTTCTCCATTCATTCCTATACATAGGGTATGTGTTATGTGCCTAAATGATAGACAGTCTCTCCAAAGGAATGAAAGCAGTTTCAGTGCATCTGTGAGTTAAAATACTAAAACCACAGTTATCCTTTACCTAATTTTCAACATTTACATAATAATGTTTCATTTGCAAAACAAATAATTGACACAGCATAATTCCATTATTGACTGGCAAAGACAGCAATGACATACCCATTGAAGGAGTTGCTAAGGTCTGTCGTCCAACCAACTGTGCAGGACCTAATCCATCCAAGAAGTCACTGAATTGGCTGTCAGAACCCAACCGAACTCCAGGAAATATTAAGCTTCAGGAGAGATATAAAATAGGTATTAAAATTATTAAGAAGAGCTGAATACAATAATAGGAACACTGCACATTTAGATTTTTTAAAAATTCAAACACATTTGTTATAATAGTATATAAATAATTATTATAATTATATTTTTATAATAATTATATACAAAATATCAGTAGAAGTATAAGAAGTGGAATTCAGAAATGTCTCTTACAACAAAGATTCTAAAATGTTCTCATGATAATTTAAAGTGTGTTATTTTAGCAAATAATTAAAAGTGCTACCCGAAGTCTCTCATGGACCTCCTGGCATTGTCATATTTAAGGCCTGTGTTGACGGATATTTGGTTGCGCCAGATGGATTTTGCATTCCCATACAAGTCAATAGAAATTTTAAAAAAATGCTTCTAGAATAGAATTTCTATTATTGTTGGATACATACACAACTTCCAACGCTTCTTATAAATTAATTACTTATATCTTTACTTACTTTCCCTCAGAGCTGTAACTGTTCATACTCCCATCGTTAGACTCCCGACTTGCTTGTCTGGTCATCCAATTTCTCATCTCTACTGCTAGTCCAGTTTCTGTACTTCGTTGGATCGTGCTTTTCAATTTTTTACCTCCAACTTCTGAAAAATATTTAAAAAAACACATGTGATTAGATTGGAACACTCCAAAATATAGGCAGATTCCTTTAAACTGTGTTACATCTACCCCTACCTACCACTCCTGAGACAGACATGGGGTTGAGCCTAGATCAAAGTTGTGCAGAGAATAGCATAAAGGTACCCAGAGACAAAGACTGGGCCCTGGACTTAATAATGATGGTTATATCAGTGGGGACAGAAGACACTCCAGCTAATCATTCTCAATGTAATAAATTACTATTCAAACTGTGACTGTGGTTTAAGCAATCACACCTTTATTTTATAAACTTATAGGTGGAGCCTATTTGGTTACGTTTGGCAGCGCTCTCAGTTTTGCTTTCTCCATTTTATACACTCAGTAAAGTTTTTCAAAGCATACATATAGTACAAACCATATGAAAAACACAAGAAGCATTTGTCTTCTTTCTATGTATGACATCCTGCCACTTTTTTTTAATAAGCAAAACAGACATTTATCAAGTACAATGTAACACAAAGAAAAAGATATTATAATATAATCAATTTTCATAATAAAAGAAGAACTTTGCGAAGAACAAATAATACTATAAGAAATGTAATAGCATGTGATTTTCGATGATCTTCTACCTCTTTTCTCTAGAAAGCAAAAAACATTTGAAATCTGCTGTTAACACATGGAAAACAGTTAGCAATGGCTGCTGACTAGGGGTCTAGAGAGCTTCTTTGTCAGCACAATGCCCTAATAATCCCTGCCCCAGTAGACATGCCTTCATATACCATGGTTTCCCTAAGAGAAGCTTAATCATGGACAACCGGAGCTGTCAATCAGGGAATTAGGCACAGACAACTACTTCAATGAGGAGTAGAGCAATGTGTCCTTAGACAGCTGCCACAAGAGATATGGGGAATATCTAGGTGCTTACAGTGCTTGAGGTCACAATAATAGTGAAAGTATATATGACTTGTGTGCTTGAGGTTTTTTCAGATATAGTAGGTAATGGCTAAAACTCTTGTCAGATATTATTGCTGTTTTTGTATTTGCTGGGTAGATTCACTCTCTCTATTTGTTCTAGCAATCATATTAACCGGGGCTGAGCAAGATGGAAAATACAACATTTGACAGTTGTTTACATTAAAAACAAAAAGGAAAACACCATTCTTGACCCCCTATTAAAAATTCTAGTCCCCTGGCATTCTCGGATTTCAAGTCTTTGACTGACATGGACTAAGTGTGCAGATAAGAAAGCCAGAGTGAAGTCACAGTTCCTGATCTGCATACTTGTTCTAGATCAGTGACTCAGAAAGCAATGAAGACACTGATCAGCAATGTCACAAGTCAGCCAGGGACAGATTTACCTTTACGCAGAATAGGCTTGTGCCTATAGGCGAGGGAGGGAAAGAGACAGCTTATCCCAGTGCAGTCATTGGCTACACAATTTTTTTTACATCAACAGCAGAAATACAGTCATGACATCTATGATTATTAATACAGTCACCATATTCTAAACCATGAGGTGATCTTATTCTTGCAGGGTCGGGAGGAGTTCTTTTGGCCCTAAAGGCTGTGTGCCTACAGGTTCCAATTATTAAAATTCAGACGTGAGCCATGACAGCCTTTCTAATTCCCCAATACAGGTTTCCTTTACAAGGAACAACTACACAAACCTAAACAAGGGGGGTAGTTGTGGAGCAAAGAAGGCCACTGGAACTGTCCCTGCAACAAAGAGACAATTGGGAGCACTAGAGATTATTAAATATGTATTTTTAAGCAAAATGAATCAAAATCTGCAGTTTATATCTGCAATGCACGTTTCCCAATTGGCTATACTTTCCGAAAAGCCACATGAGGAAGCGAGAGGAAATCCCTCCAAAGTAAGGGAAATCCAAGGTCACCAGAACTAGTGTCCCCATTGGAAGATTTCATATCTATTCCTGTTCTGATTTTCCTTTATTGATATTGGTCACCAGGACCAAAAGAGAAGGTGAATGTCCCTTCACAGGTGTTCTAATCGCTTTCCACTCAATACAAAACTAAAAAAAAGTTTTGGCTTCAGTTGCACTTGAAATCCTGTTGTGAGCTGACAACACACAGCTTTTTTTTGTGGACTGAGTGGTGTCAGCTCTGCCCAGTTACTTTTGACAAACTACTCAATCACTCTTGCTTTCAGATCTCTGCAACATAAAGGCTAATCATTCTGTAGTCCAAGACAACACAAGACGGCTCTGAATGTCCAACATAATTGACAGGTTTGTTTGCCCTTATCAAACAGATATCAAAATGCTTCAATTGGTATATTAAACAGGTCAAAATGAAGCAAATAAGAGAAGTTCATTGTTAGGGTATATGTACCCTATAAGTGGACACTTCAAGAGTGCAGGTAAAATCAAACACATGCATTCTAGTGGGTGCAGGGGCACACAAGGCTGAATGCCAAGCTGAGCATCACTATAAAGGCCAAACCCCAACCACATAGCCCTCTTCATTACCAACCCAAGCCTTGCCAAGTAACATCTGCTATAAGGAAGATCACCACTAGTAGCATACTTCCTAAACACTGAGTTACCAAATGGTAATAAAGCCATTAGAATCAGAATATGATGCCATATTCTAATAATGAACGTAATAAAATGTTCCAGGATTAGACCAATTCTAACAGAATAATGTGTTTGTGTGCTTTGTGCAAATGATAAAAGAACAGAACATAATCTGTCACACATTGTCACTATGATGTGCTTCTATGTGAGACATTATGCAGAACACAGCATAAACCTCTGAAAATGGTATAATCACCCAGTAACCCAGAATAATGGCCTGAAAACCACAATGAGCCTGAGAAGTGAATGTCTGTAATAGCACATCACTCTCAGTAGTAAGAAAATGGTTCATGACCTTTCAGTAAGAACGATCATTCTCATTCATGTGTTCATTTTTATAAGTTGTGCATAGAAAGCAAACTAGAAAGAAAAACATGGAGCTAAATTGTTTACACAGAATTGTGTCATAATGGGCCCAGATCCCCCATTATAACCTGGCCATCAACATATAGAGCAAAAAAAAAGAGGAGCAGAAATACTGGTTAGGGCAAATATCGGTTGTTCTGTTAGAATTGACCAGTCAGTTGCCCTGCTTGTAGTCTAATCCTCTCCTCATGATCCCCCTCACATAATCTATTTGTTGGCATTTGGTTATGGGACCAGAACCAAAGGGAGATAGAAGCAGCGGTTTCTGCAGGATAGATATGTTTTTCTAGTCCTCTTCTATCAACTATTTATTTGGTGGAGCAGGAGGTTTAGGTTAGAAGAGTGTATTTAAAGTTAACCTGAAACAAATTGGGGTCGATTAAAAGTAGGCATATATTGAAAAAAATGTATAAAGCAGAACAAATCTCAACATTTCATGTAAAACCCTGCCCCTCTTTTTCCTTCCAAGCCCCCCTATTGGTTCTTTAAAATGAGGGTTGGGTTCACTGACCAACTGGAGGGCTTTAGGAGGTCAGAGGAGGCAGGGCCAAAGCCAACTTTTGAAGAAGTCAAGAATTTTAGGCAGCCTCTGTCTAAGGGTCTACTGATCACTTAAAGTGACGCTAAACTACAATAGTTTGTATACACCCTTCCTTCAGGATGGATTTTGTTCTCCATGGTCACTGTGTGTGTTGTAGAACAGCCACCGCTCCAAGATCGCTTCTGTGATGGACTACAGTCTTATGTTTAGTTTACCAATTTGTATTTAGATTGTAGTCCATCACAGGAGCTTAGAGTGGTTACTTTACAACGCACACATGGACCATGGGGAACAAAAGCAGCCCCCCTCCAGAAGGAAGGACAATGGACTGCCGCTTACAGATGTGGCTGCTGTCACCTTATCATTTGCTTGAATAGGTACAGCGGCCACATCTGAACGGGGACACCTGGGATTCTTGCCGCAGGAATCCGTAGGTTCTTGCCACAGGAATCTCAGAAGACTCCTTGTGGATGGGGCCTTCTTCTGTACTAAAACCAGGCAGGAGAAGTGAACAATCTAGGACAAAATAGATGATTTGGAAATATTCTTCAATTCACTTCACTTTCCAGCTATGTTGTCCTAGATTGTTCACTTCTCCTGCCTTCTCCAAACTCTTCACCCTTTTGTGAATAACCCTGTTAATCTTATCTCTTAATTATCTTGTGTTCTATTTCAAAAAGCCAATTTAAAGGACAATTTCTGGGTTTAGCCAAATGTTTTTGGTATATAAATTCTTACAGGTCCCATGCATTGCAGGACTGTATCCATTGCCCTATACCTTGTACTGGAGGGTGTCCCTATTGCTCATATGAGAAAGTTGGGAGGTATGGATACAGCTCACTGTCTGGTATACATTCTAGTCTCAGCTTGGGAGGAAATAATCTATGTGCTACATGGACAATAAGTGTGCAGAGACAGATTTTCCCAGCACAAAAGCTGCTACAGATACAGCTCACAGGGTTACACAAACACGGGACAACATTTCTTTTAACTGATAAAAGACATCTAAGATAATTGACTAAAAGGAAGTCAATACACTGCAGGCTTTACTTTGCTCATTGTGTGCCAGATGATACAAAGCACCTATTGTCTCGTATGGTCAATGTCCAGCGTCACACCAGGCCGCACACCTCATTATAAGGGGATGAGCTAAATATGTGACCACAAAGTCTATAGAAAGATGCTTTGTCAGTGACAGTGTAACTAATAAACCAGGTCAATGCTATGATTGTATATTTCCTATATTTTTATTAAGCACCAACATCTTACAGAACACATTCATGAGTACAGGAAACCATTCATATCAGTTCCTGCCAACATTACAGCGGAATGTCACGCACACTGTAGGGACAATTTGGAAAGCTGCCTACCAGCATGTATTTGGGTTGAGGAAGAACACTGACAATACAAATAATTCAAGCAAAGATAACTTTTTTTCATATTTTCTTCCTGTGAAAGTGTGCAGTGTGTGAAATATGAGGATCCTATGACAGGTACAGGG